CAGGACTGTTGATCTTTGCCAACAAGCAGGACGTGAAAGGTTGCATGTCTGTGGCTGAGATCTCCCAGAGCCTCCAGCTTACCTCTGTCAAAGACCACCAGTGGCACATCCAAGCCTGTTGCGCCCTCACTGGGGAGGGGTAAGAACTGTATTTACAAGTAGCTTCCATGTATACGCAAAATGAATGAATGTGTGGCTTTAACCTTTGTTGTATTACAGTATGCATACAGAGTTTTGGTTTTTAATGCTTGTTTGTCTTCATTTTATCCCGCTCTCTTCCACATCCCCGTTCCTCCACGGCATTCCCACCTTCTCGTTCCCCTCCAGGTTGTGCCAGGGTCTGGAGTGGATGATGTCACGGCTTCGTGTGAGATGATGACCTTGATGGCTTTGATTAGGAGTGCACCCTTTCTGTCGTTTTTTTTTTTTTTTTTTTTTTCCTGCCTCCAGACTTGAGAATGGGGTTGGGGTCAGTTGATGGACGGCCCCCCCTCCTCTTTCCTGTGGAGCCGATGTGGGCAGAAGCTGCCCGGACATTCTATTCTTCTGTAATAATTTATTTTACAAAAGACGTCTGAACTGAGAACAAAAAAAAAAACTTGACCTTTTCACAAGGACATCGGACAACAAAGACTCAAATTATTTAAACTGAAATTTCTGCACGGTTTTCCTTTCAGCAAAACACAGAGGTCAGCGGAGTGTCTGACGTGGAACTGTACATGGACTTATTCTCCAGCTGTGTGTGAGTCTAGCCCACGGTGGCCTTGCAGTATTGCCGGACTGGCTGTGGTGGTTTTTATTGCCCCCCCTGTGTGTACAGTCCAGTATTCTCTTTTAACTTGGTGCCTGCAGCAGAATGTTCAAATGGTGACTGAAAAATGCAGACGGGAGGGTAAAATCACAATATGCCCTCTTCCTTTCAGTCCCTATGAATAATCACTGAAATAAAGTGTTTTTATCTGTTTCAGGTGAATTGCATTGTGTCTTGAATGAGTGTTTCTTTCAGGTGACTCACTAGATTTCTTCTTTACGATTGACTTCTATAGCCACAACTATATTGAGTTTTGTGTATCTAAGTTATTCTTTTTTTAGTTCTTTAGGGAGCAGAATGTGTCACATGAGCTCGTGGGTCCTGATGCTTTTCAGGGAGCATGATGAGCAGCTACAGAAGTAGAGTCCATAGAGTCCATAGAGTAAGAGGGATTCAGGAAGAGAAGAAGAGACCAGGCCCAAAATGTAAGCAGCCCACAGTGAGTGTTGAGTGCAGAATAGTAAGGACTTGTGTAGCAGAGTTGTTGCATTCAAAGGAGGTCAAGTTTAAATGAATGAGCAGCAAACTGAAACCAAAGTCAAACTCTGTTTTAGAGTTTGTATTCTGATGCCTCCACTGCCTCACTTCGTTTGTAGGCTTGACTCCTCCGCGGCAGATCTGTTGTCATGGTAATGTCGCTGTGAGGCAGTCCCTTTTTACAAAGTCAGCAAACAGCCCTTCCATCAACCACAATAAAACTTTGACTTGTGATTATCCTTCTGTAACAACTTGCTTCCCTGCATTTTGCCTTATGTAACATCATGCCTAAAGACACCTTTAACAGCATGATTTTTAAAAAAAAAATGTCTTTAACTTTAAGCTTTCTGTTTTGCTGTGAATTGAAGCATTACTGAATATTTTCTACTTCAACATGCATAATGTATAGAATGATCACAAGAAGCACCAAGCCCACTGATTTTTTTTCTTTTTCAAATCAACCAACTCTACTTTTTCAGATTTAGCTCATAGGCAAAACGATCTACAGTGTAGCTTCTTTAGAACGTTGGAAATACAAATGAGTTACCACCAGCTCTTACTAGTTTAACACAAACCTTCTGCGTTAACATCATGGCCTCACAGGAAAACTGAGCTGAGGAAAAGACCATGATATATGTGTAAAAGTGCTGGGAAATTTCCAGGAACGGGACCTTATGGTAGCACTTTTACGGTCAGATTTTGTGTAGTCTTTAATTTTTCTCCCACCTATTCAAAATCGGTTCTGTATTTATTGATGTGCATGTTTGAAAAGATGTGTTAGGTATGTCATTGTTCTTAAAGCTCTGGTCTGACAAGGTTTCATCTTCAATTGAAACATTGTCAGTTGTTTTTAGAAGTTGGCTTTACTGTTGTGAAGTTGTTGTAGCAGGTAAGTCAAACCCAAATAATTCCCTCTCAACAAAATGCCAAAACCTAAAATAAATACTTGTAATGATTTTTTTGAAATACTACAATTTTGTATCTATTTGCCAAGAATCCACAGGGCAGAATTGGAGACCTGTGTGTCCTCAGTTTATTTTGAGTGATGTATCAGTGATGTGTCACCACAAAGATGCGTTTGGAAATGACATCGTGTTTGTGCAGGTCCAATACATGCTTAGCAAGTACTAGCCAACCCAGGACATCACTCCCTTCTTTTAGTGTTAGAAAGGTTAGAGCAGATGTGTATCTTCATCTGGAAACAACAACCTATCCTGTTCCTGCAAAGTCACACCATGAGAGACCAGTTGGTTTAATTTTAGGCTTCTTACGTCACTAAAATCCATCGTTTTCTTAGGTGTTGGTGGGCTAATATTTACAGTTGGCTGTGTTTGTGTTGTGGTTGTCTTCCCTGCAGCTGTTGTGTTCTGATCTCTCTGGTCATCAGTCATTTTTTCCAGTGACTAAGCATCGTGCAGCCCCCCTCTCTGGGTGTCTTTGGCATTGGGAGGTCATTCTCTTGACTGCTAGACTCATTAAAGAGCTGTGATACCGCTCAACATTTCAAATATTGCACACAATGTTTCCATAGCGTACAAAAATTTAGAGAAGCATCAACTCAAAAGACCTTCTTTTATTATTTGAAGTGAAATTATTGACAGTGAGATTTCAATAATGCAACTGGGCCTTTGTACCTTGAGGAGTGTGTTACTGTTTCACATTTTGAATGTCCCTTTATGCAGTGTGGTCACAAACAGAATACCCCTTCCCCCATTTTGGTTAAGTAAGTTATCTCTCAAATGGATAATTGTAAACTTGAGCACATAAAACTGAAACCTGAGTGTCAGACGTTTAAAATTTGCAATGATTGTTACCACGACTTTCTATTTCTATGCTAAAAAGTCTGACGGTTGTGAAAATATGTTAAAACTTCATAATCAACCACAAGGCAAGTGTGAAAATAGTATTTCTTTAAAAGCCTAGTCTCAGTTTAGGTCAACTCACCCTTTAAAACTCGGCTACTTTTTTTAGTTTTGCAGATTAGATGAGATCAGGACTGCAATGATGCTGCTAATGAGGACCAAGCAGCAGTTATTCAGTGCATCACCGAATGGAGGCCTGTTACCAGTCTCAGGAGAGGGACAGACGGAGCGAGACATTCAGCTGCTGCTGTCCATCTTGGTCCCGGGGTAGCACCCTGCTGCTGGCAAAGAGTGAGAGTAAAGATGAAACATGCCAGAGAGATAGATGTACGTCATTTGAAGAGAAAACATACTTGTTTTCTCCGTCTTCTTTGTGTTTTCAGTAAAGTTCTGTTAAATTTAATCAGTAGCTGAACCTCAGCTTTATGGTGTACAGTATGTTATCTAGAAATAGTTATTGATGTATTTATAAAATGTAAATGCTTTTCATGCACTTAAATTGTGTGAACATTGAGTAGCTGTCACCTCCACCACTTTGAAATGTGAAAATCTGCTTTATTTTTGACCTGGGTGTCAATTACTTATGACACAATGAGGAAAATATAAGAGACAAGAAGAAACACAGGAGAGCATGTGGCGATTACCGGATAATGGCAGCCATATTACTTACATTCTATTTTAAACCTAATAAGTAGTGCTTGGCTTAGTTCATACCTGTACAGTACATCCAAACCTCATTCAAACCACCAAAGAGAAACCCTAAAATTCTAGTACACATCCTAAAGTTTCCAAACACATGAAGTATGTCAGGTTGAAAGTTGGTGAAATGTACATAAAATTATGTAAATACTTAGGATGCATTAGGATTCATTTAAAAGATGAAAATGCTAATAAAGGTGAATATTTTAGATTCAAAGAATGTTTCCATTTAATTAAAAAACAGAAACTTGGGTTTAAATCCAAAGATAGTGTGTTGATATTCCTTTCATTGGAAGCTGTTGCTCAGATGCAAACATATGAATCAGTTATTAAAGAGAAAACTGGTGTCCCCCAGTAAAAGGCAATACGTTCAGACAGTGAAGATTAAGTTGATTTTTAACAACCTTAAAGCCACTTCAGGTGAAATGTAAGAGAAAAACAGTATTTTAAGGTGTTTTCACATGAGGAGAGACACCATAAAATGTATAGGAGTATCCACAGTAAATTGTCTCTCAGTGATCTAAAAGGAATCATGTCAGATGTCTTCAATCTTTATTCCAAAAACAATTGTCATGACTTGCATAGGATGACTCATGATTTGTTTACAGGCTCGTCCTCATTCCAGGGAACACTGGTGATTTATCAGACTAATCTTTTTTCAGCTACAGTCACATTGAGTAGCTATTCATTTGTGGTTCACAGTTACAGTGGCATATTGTTTCTTGTCTTGTCTCAGATTGATGTTGACCTGGTTCTTGACGGGACGTAGCCAGCTCTGGGTCAGCTGACAGATGACCTCAACAGATCTGACAGTCGCAGCCGTGCTGGGCCTTAAGCTAGGCTTCTCCTCATACTCATATTCTCATCTGTAATCATACCTATTTCCAAATCTATTACAGAAAAAACAATAACATTTGCTCTTGTCAACATCACATCTGTCACTAAACCATCCACACTGGGTGGTACTGTTGTAGTGTGGGTTTACTTTTGTGTTCTTTAGACCCCACCACTCACCCCACTGCCTTCCTCATAACTGTACCGCTGATGCATTAGCCTCAACAGGTGCTCCTAGGTATATTTAGAGTTTGAAACATGAGAGCGCTGGCCTGTGATTGGCTGCGTCAGCCACATGATAACCTGGGTAGAAACCGCAGCTGTGTGCTGTCGCCCAGCGTTTCTCTGGAGGGAAGCTGGGGAGGCTTTGGCGGCTTGGGAGACCATTAAACTTTAACATAACTGGTAAGCAAAGGAAAGGATAAAACCCCACATATCCATGTTTTTCTACAACCTGCATGGCTTTCCATCGGCTTGGACATCCATTGTTTCCATCTCCTGCTGCCATCTGGATTGAGGAGGCGCTGATTGAGGAATAAGGATTTGAGAACACTGTGTTGCACATTGAAGGAGTAACCAAACAATCCAGAACTGCAAGACTCAAGCAAGATCACACCAGGCCCACCTTTGGATGTATCTGAAGTTGCAGCAGCAGCAGCAGCAGCAGCAGCCTGGCCACTTTGTCTTCTTTCCAAAGTCTTAGCACCTGTCTGGCTATTTTGTCCTTCTACCTCAATTGCTCTGCCTCTTTCACTTTTTGTTTAACAGATAAATGTATATTTTAATTTAAAGAGAGGGCAATCAAGTGCTAAAAAAGGTAGTTAGTGTGCCATCCTATATTTAACCTGCAGCCTCAGAAGGCATTGCATCTCCATTTGCTAAACAGAGTCAACCAATCAGGCCGTGGCATTAGCTTACATGTCAAATAGCTGAAGCACTGTTGGGCAGCTGTCGCCAAGCTTCAGCCAGGAGGCACAGTTCTTTGAGCTGTGGTGTGGCATGCAAGAGAGGAGGGGTGACTGTCACACATCCAGAGGCCTATTATAATGCCTCACCTTCCTAATCTGCTCTTCTCCCCGTGTGATAACTGACATACACTTTTGTAAAGGTGTTTCACACATTTTATTATCTCGTTTAGGACTGGGGCAAATCACAAAGTCGGAGTCAGGTTGAGACCCTAGTGGATGGCAAGTGAGGCTTCCTTACTGTCAGGATATACTGCGAGAATCTTTTGCTGGTATGCCAAGCACATTGGTTGAACATCATTGTGCTATTATTATGTTTTTCGAGCATGTGTTTGCTGTTTATTCCTTTTTTTAAAAAAAATAAGGTAATTGAGTTCAACAGGGGGATGGCAGGGAGCATCCTAAAATATCCCTGCTGCACATTATCCTTTGATCTCCTGTCCAAGTACCAGTTTATGCTGTTTGAGACTTTGACTTGATGCTACTGATAGAACATGCAGAACACTGTATGCTTCCCCTTTAGATGTGCCAAATGTCACCCATTCAGAGCTTCAATAATGAGTGCCTGAAAATGTAATCTGTGTTTTTTGTAGAGCTTCTAAAACCGGCCCAAAATGGCGGATACTGAAGATTTTGATGAGCTTGGGGAGGAGGAGGAGGAGGAGGAGCTTGACGAGGTTAGTGGACGTCTTCTCACTTAGTTGTGCGCTTTAATTGTAAATACAGCTTTTCTTCATTTCCCCCTACCACACTCAGTTAGGTTTTATGGTTTTCAGCCTTAATGTGATTAAAACTTGATTTCATTTAAGTCAGAGGCAAGAGACTATGCTGGATCTACAGGTCTAGCAAGAAGCCCTATGAATAGTTAGACTAGTGACGATACCCCTTATAGTCAGCAGTTCATGGAACAGGGCATCCATGTCTGTTGGTGTTATGTTTCAGATGGACACCTTCTAATGGGTTTTAAGTCCTAGATTACACTGTAAATCAAATTGTAATTTACTGCTGTTCTTTTAAATGCGAACATACCTTTACCTGGACTTGTGCCTTCATGAAAAATGGAGTCGAGTGATGTAACCATTACACAATTGTCCGATAAAGTCATTTTTATTCCACAGACATCTGTATATGGCTGTACAACATTCACTTAACTTGAACGTTGTTGCAGCCGTTCAGCTATCTCCAACATATCTAACCTTTGGATGAATACATTTTTCAATTATGTAGCGATACCCAAATTACGATCGTATCCTTCCCGTGTAGCATAGATGGTGCTAAGATAAGATTACATACATTCTGGGGGTGTGCCAGTTTCTGGAAGATACTATTTTGTCTTTTGCCTTAAATGACCTTTTGAGATTCTTTATTACATTTCACACCAATCATGCCATTTAGTGTTAATCACCAATTTCCAGTCATGTTTTTTCTCCAGATTATGTTAACAAACCTCAAAAGTTGATATTTTCTGCATTTAGAGCCCATTTTGTGTGAGAAATATTGTTCTGTTCAACGTCTCCATTTCAGTGTCCGATGGAAGAGTGAAAACAGAAGGCTAACACTTAATCTCGCATTTCCTGGTGAAATAGGATTAAAGTTGGCCTCGTATTTGTTTGTGCGTAATATTGCTGATATCTTATAGGGGAGTCTGAATGATGGCTGTCACAATATTACCTAATCATACCAAGCAATCTTTTTTTATTTATTTATTTATTTTTAATCGTTTACCTCCCATATAACATATCAACAGTTTCAAATAGATTTACCATCTTTATTGCAAAGATGTAAATCGTTTGGGATGTGGGACAAATGGTTAAAAGTCAATACACTCTGATTTCACTAGCACTTTCATCTATACTGTGGAGAAAAATTGCATTGTTTTCAAAGAGAAGTAAGACGGCTTCTTATTTGATTTATAGAATGGGGAGAAACATAGTGCTATTCAGTTTATATATAACAGTAAGTATATCATTAAAAACACCATCACAAGGATTTAGACAGTGTAGTTATTCTGAAGTTTTTTTGTTTTGTTTCACTAGTTAGTGAGCTTAAATCATTATAACCTCCAGGATTTTCTTTCTCCTAACTTAAAAAATGACTTAACTTCTGGGGTCATGAAGGGGCGGAGTGTAGAGTTCTCTGTCTGGCATTCAGACAAATTTAGAAATGGACGTCTACAGCACTTTGGCAGAGAGATGGAGAGGAGGAAGGAGTAAAGGGAGAGAAAGTAAGCCAGTCAGAGAGAGAGAGAGAGAGAGAGGAGAAAATGAGAAGAGTCACTGTGCTGTAAATCACACTGTTAACGTCACAGTGCAAGGAATTTGGTCAGGGGAGGTGGTTGCCTGGAAAAACATGCATTGTACAGATTTGTTTCTGCATTTTAGGGATTATTGTAACAAATTGTAGAGTTTTGTCTACACTTATGGTTCTCTCCTGTCTCATAGATTCAGATAATTGAAGCCTCTTACAAATGTTGTTTAAAATGATTGAGATGTTCTTTCTCTCAGCTCTGGTTATTCCTAGATTCAGGTAGATTTTAAGGAAGTATGGTTGGCACCTAAAGTCTCCAGGTAGCACTCCTGTGATTGTAAATGTTACACTGTGTTGCTTCCTAAGAAAGGGGAAGTTTATTTCAGGTGGGCTGCAATTTATAGGTGCTATTCATGGAGCAGTATGTAGGAGCTCTGTCAGTTGCTGTAATCTGAGTTGCTTCACTAGAAAATACCGTTTTGCTCTTAAGAGTTTAGTTCATCCTAATACCAAACCATACCTCGAATAGTGTCTATCCATGCAACTTGTGCATATGTTTTCATTTACACAAGTGTGAAGATAACCGTCTGCATTCCAGTATAATAGATGTAAGTGAAATTGTGTAGTTTAACACGTTTTGAACAGTTTTCAGAGACTATTTCTGTGCTAGAGAAAACTTTCAATACAAGCAGGCTGTGGATTATTCAGAGTAGGGATCGATTGAATTGCTTTTCAGCACTGATATGATATTGTTAGTAAACAAGGAGACTGCTAACTGATATGTATTTGAATCAAAAAATCTTGGTGTCAAAATTTAGAATAACACAAACTTCATCATAAAACTTCTATTAAAATGTTTTGTTTACTTATGTACTAAATATTCTTTATTGAAATAAACTTTTTACAATTTATCCCTCAGTGTTGGCAGGACATTGATAGTAATGTTAACCAATCAGATAGTACTGTGGGTGGAATAATGTTAAAGACCATAGATTGACTAAAGGTGGTTACATCAAAGCCAAAATAGTGCATTTTATTTATTTAACAAATTTATTTCAGTGATCACTGGTTTAAAAACACAACATACTGATAATCAGAAAAATAGTGAACATCAGATTCAATAACTGGCCAGGTCAATAATTGTGAATGCATAATTCATGGCATCCAGGACACTGTTTCCAGAAAGATAAGCTTGTGTTGATTATTTTTGAATGTCTTTTTTTTAATGTTGTGAGCACCACAAACTAAATTCCATCCTCCTGAGAAAATAAAACCAAAAACCACCTGCATGGATAGATGCCAATATAGACCTAAGTGGGGAAAATAAGATTTAGATATTTGGGTGAACGAATCCTTTAAACCCATGAGCGCTGTTTGTGAACAGATGTAGAGATTACAAAGCTGTTTAAACACTTTGTGTACTGCTTTGTGCTGTAGCAACTGATAACAGCAACAGTGGTGTATGAAATGACAAATAAGAATAGAAATACTGTCATGTGAGTGCCTGGTGTTTTTAGACTTGGTTAGAGGATCAAAGATTTGGAGCGGTCAGGCTTACATAGCGCTGAGGATATTAATGACTCTTTATCCTCTGTATGATCCTAGATTAATTAGACTGCAGTCACAATTACATCACACTGTATCCACCGCTGGGGATCTTACCATTCATTCTGTGACTCTAATTGAGTTGGGAGTTAATCAGTTTATCGCAAGTTACAACAAAAACCCCCGATGACAAAACTCAGATTCTGTGGAATTGATGGACGGTTTGATGGCATTTAGTAGAATAGCGACTAATGTGATGCATTGTTGAGGGTTTTCCTACTGGAAGTGTCAGCGACAGTAATAGATGAATACCAGAGCTTTGGAAAAATCACCCTCAATCCGAAAAGTACTGTGCTGTTTCTCCCATAACGTGTTCTGGTTTTAAAAACCCAGAGTGTGTCCTATATTTGTAATATGTTGAGCAGATAAGATCGTCTGTCACTGGCACGAGTCAGTTCCTTCAGGTAAAGCACCTTCTACCAAGGCACAGTAGTTAATGCAGGGCAGAAAAGCCCTGTGTCCCATTGTCTCCCATGTCTTATGATGCCTTCCCCTCCTTGTCTGCATGCCTGTATGGATAATCTGCTGTCTTATTTCATTGAGTGCATAGTCTCTTTGGTATTGATAGGTATGTAGAATTTTATTAAGATAAAGATAAAGATAAAGATAAACTTTATTCATCCCGAAGGAAATTGTTTTGCCAGAGTACAGTTAAAATTATTGACGTAAGTACAACTCTGTACAATATTTCTTAAATGTTACATATTTTTAAATTGTATCTCCTCTCAATAATTGCATGAAGTCTAAGTTGACAAGTTGAGTATTTCCTCCTATGAACAAACCAAATACTTTAGTTAATTGTTTAGTTACTTTTTAGAAAACCTGTGATAACTGTAACTAAAGTGAGTATACCTGTGATCTCTAATGAGTCTAACTGCATTAACAGGGTATAAAAAGATCAACAGACACCAGAACTTTCTCAGTTTTGTCTAATTTTGTCAGGTTAATCTCCATAATTAGTCATGTTGTTTGATCTTAGCCTTGATATTTATATGAATTACATAAAGTTCTGTAATTTATAATACCATAGGGTCTTAACTGCATTATTACATTAATTAAGTTTTTCTACATAATTAATAACACTGTACTGTCTTAGGCCTAATATGTATTGTAGTAAGGTAAAGTTTTATATATGTATTTTGTAGGGTTTCATTCCTAAAATGTTAAATTACGCTGGTAAAATTACACCATAAATCCCATTGTAGGGTCTCAACTCCAGTATCCTAACTTGTTAAGTTATTTTGTCATGCCAGTCATAATCCTTTTTACTGAAAAGCACATTCACACAATGGCTGTTGTCTTAAATGTACTATATGGAAAACAGGGACTAGACTGGACAAGGGGCTATGTGTGTCTGTGTATCTGCATCATGGCTTCACACAGAAAAGAATTGCTCCAAAATCTGCAAAATGTCATGGTCAGACTTCAAAAAGTTGAAGAATGATTTAAGAAGATCAATGACCAATGAAAAATCTGTGGAAACACAGTTGGGGTGGTAATCAGGAGGTAAAGAACAAATTCGAGGTCATCTTCCTGTGTCAGCGCCATTGACAATTTGCTAGTTGCACAATCTAGCTCTGAAAAACAGATAGACAGATGCTTCAGGCTTGGCATAGAGGTTATCAGTGGAAATCATGGTTACTATGACGGGTCAGACAGTGAGAAGAACTGTGCATAATGTAAACATCTTACTCAACCACCATAAAAAACTCTTGCTTGCTCTGTGGCACAAAATTACAAGATGAACCTTTGCGAAAGAACATGACAAGAAACCTAAAGAACAGTGAGAGCATTGTCTTTGTTGAGATGAGACCAAGATAAATTTGTTTGGCTCACATGGGGTCCCGCATGTTTGACGTAAACTTGGTTAGAACTACCACAGTGAATACACAGCCCTGACAGTGAAGCATGGTATGAGGAGTGTGATCATATGGGGGTCCATATTTGCAAAACCTTTTGGGAATGATATTTATAGATGGCACCATACATACCTGTGGATATACCGAAGTACTGGCTGACAAGATGATACCCAGTCTGCAGAAGGTTGGCAGATGAAGAATATTCTAGTATGACAATGATTCAAAGCACACTGCCAAAATTACACAACAGTTTCAAAAGAAGAAAATATTGAAAACTGATGACCTGGCCATGATGTCTCCTGACTTGAAACTGTTATTTTTTTTATTTTGCATATGAACAAATGCCCTACTGCTCAACTTAGAAGTAATGCAATTATTGTAAGGTGATAAAGTTCATAATCATGTAGCATTTAAGTAATACTGCACAAGAGTGTACTCACAATCTGTTTTAAGATAGTAAATCAGTTAAAACTCTGCTAATTTTAATGTGACCTCCAAGAAGAAATGGCTGCTTTTTGGGGCAGTTGGTGGCTTTTTGTAATGTGCCTTTGTCCCTTTGTGGCTTTACTGGGCAATATGTGAGATACAGTACTGTAAACCTTATGAATATATGTTGCTGAGCCTGACACCGCATGCAGCACAAGGCGCTCATAGATATAGTAGGTGCTACTGTGTATTCAACGCTTCTCTTTTGCTTGTCTTGGATTGTTCTGTCCTTCAGTCACCCTTCATTCAGCATGATCTTAGCACATCATAATAATTCCATTATTCTGACTCACTGACCTACATGTAAAATAAATTAGCGCTGAATAAATATTGGCTTGAAACACTTCAGTGATTGAAGGTGAGTAATTAGAGCAATGAGCCTATAGCAGACTCACACAAATTATATCAGTTTGGTGAGAAGCTCTTTCTTCAGTTTGACATTGTCAAATCATTAGTCAATCAACAATTTTCCATTACAGTTCTAATATGGCTTAAATAATCTGTTTTGTTTAAGTATCAGTAAGCCCTTTCTCTTTGTGGATGTAGTTTCACTTCCTGGCCAGTGTGTTTCCTGTAATCAATGCATTTAAGTCTGTTTGTCAGTTGGATAGGTAATTGTATTCCCCTCTGTCCTCCTCTCAGTCTGGGTTGCCCACCAGGAAAGTCAGGAAGAAGGTCAAGGTGGACACTTCCAAGTTCATGACTCCATACCTGGCCCACAGCCAGAAGATGCTGGAGCAGTACAGCCACGTAAGACACAAGTTTTAGGCCAAAAATCAATAACAAACTTTACCCACTATTATGTGTAAATGAATCCAGTTATCCCTTTCCATTCAAAAATAGTTTTGATTTACATTAATTCACTTTTGCTTTATATGTGATCTTTTTATTGGTTGTCCTGCCTTTTATGTCATGACTGTTATACTGTATTCAATCGTCATTGTCCTTGACAGAATAAGTACCGCCAGGCTTATGACATGTCCAGAGGGACGCCTCCTGCCTTCATCGCTGACACCCCTGAACTGATTCGTATCAGGAAGGCCCAGGAGCAGCTTAGTGAGGTACTGCTGAGGACTGCGGTCATAGTTTCACCCAAAGTTTAAGGATGAGACGCTTATTTGAATAGAAGATTACTGGTTTGACTCCCCCTCTGGTGAAAAGGAAGTGTTTTACCGTGTGAACATATCCATATGGTGTTCTTATATGCTAGAAGACATACAGTGAGAGAAAAAAAAGTTGTCAACACCATAGCTGAGCATTTCCTCCTTAAAACTAGAGTGAGCCAATGACTTTTAAAATGAGTTTTAAAATCACAGATTCAGACTTCCAAGATTTCATGTGTAACAAAACTAAAGAACCTAAAGAACTAAAGAACTTGCAGAGTGAGACTTTCTGTATCATTATTTGGGCGCTCGAACATGTGTAGCTGAATTATTCCAGTATTACAACCTGCTGTCATCTAGCGTAGAGTAGTTTCACAGTGTTGTAGGTTGGATAGTGAGCGCGAGCACCAAGGATGTAAAGTTACATCTCAGCAATTTTAAGGTAAACAGGGATGAATGTCATGGAAGAAACTTCTAAATATATAACTTTCATACACATAACAGATTTTTTGGGGGGTTAAATCCTCAACTGGAAAATGCCTTTAAATTAAATTAGATTCTGTAGCCAATCAATAGGCTATGTGTGACAGTAAATGATTTGATCTTGCTGTTGTCGTATGTAATATGAAATAACTCATCTCGCAATCAGGTTAAATACCGCATGGAGGGAATTAAGGCTCGCACCACCAGCATGTATGATGGTGAGGCCAGGGAGATCGCCCACGTCAAGCATGTATCTGAGCTGATCAGCAAGGTAAAGTATCTGAATTTACACCAATACAGAAAGGTCTGAAAATACATAAGGAGAAATCTGACTGATTAACATCAATGTTTGTCTCTTGCAGGTTCTGTACAGACAGAAGTGGGACGAGGCTAAGGACAAGTACCTGCTGCCACCCGATGCTCCTGAGCTGGTTCTGGCTGTGAAGAATGCTGCTAACTATAGCAAAGTAGGTACAATGTGGCACCCAAGCACTGAATTTGAACACCATCTAATTGTATAATTAAATTTAAGGAGCATCTGTTGAAATGTTTTACATGCATGGAGCAAGTAATGATTTTACACCTTGTTCAGAAACTTTACACGGAGGCCTGGGATGAAGACAAGACCCTGTACTACCCTTACAGCGACAGCCCCGAGCTGCGCAGGGTGGCTAAGGCTCAGGAGGTCCTCAGTGATGTAAGCTAAATTTACTTTCAATAACAAAAAATATGTGTTAAGAACCTGTTCACTGGTCACACACATTCTCACCTGACTCAGTTATCTCTAAGCAGTTTTTAAATATATTTTTTAAAAAGAAGTTTATATTATTACAATGTATACATAGATATGACATCACATAAACTATGCTGTACCTGGATAAGGTTTATTTATTTAAGCTGTCATTTGGTGTTGTTTTTTGTAGCACAAAAATCAGGTATGGTTTGACTTTAAGCCACATTTCCAGAGTCAATCATTAGTGCTCTTTTATATTTTAATCCAACGGAGCAGTTATTTCTCACCGACTTTGCTGGTAGATTGCAATTCAGTGTCAATCACTCAGGCATGCAACTTTTAACACCATTTTAGTTTTCTCTTCCTCTCAGGGTCCATTTGTTTGTGCTGAGTCAGATGTATCATACATAGCAATTTCCGCGCACTATGAAAGCAATTAAAATTGTCATTCGTGCCTCCCCTTCTTGTGTTCACTGTGTTTAACCTTTTCTGCTGATGTAGGGAAACTGCCAGTCAATTTAGAGGCCAAATTGTACACTAAGGTTAGATATTAATATTGGAGAATTAACCACCTCAATAAATTTTATCTCCTGCTTTGTGTAACCCCCACAGGTTCACTATAAGAAGGGTCATGACGAGCGCAAGGCCAAGTACACCTCCTTGCCTGATCCTCCTGAGGTGGAGCTGGCCAGGAGAGTGGCCCATCAGCGCAGTGATGTAAGTACAATTTGTAACTACACTGAATAGTGTACTTACAAAAATCCACTGTCGAACATTATCTGTGCATCTTCTATGGCGCTGTTAAGATCAGGATCTGAACTTAAAGTTGTTCCCTCCCTTTCATTATGGCTGTCATTTAGATTATGGAGACAAAAGTCCATTCTGGTTTCTCTTAAAGGTCAAGTAATATTCTTTCCATCAGGATGTGTCATCACAAGTGAGCACAGGAGAGCAATAAACCTAAATGTGGCACAGGAAAATTATATTTTAGATGCTCAAACTTGTACCTTGTACAGTGCACTCACAAAAATAGGGCCACCAACAAGGCCGGAGCCACTGCTCGGGATAACTGGCCACCTGCTCTCTGATATTAGCGGCCACACTAAAATGGAAGCAAGAGGCTAATTATAGGTTCATATCATAGAGATTCTAGTCATTCCTATTGTGTTTTATTGAATATATGGAGATATTAGTTTAGTTTCTGTTATCCATGTATCCTCTATTTTACAACAAGATGACTACTGTTAAAAAAATAATCTTCTAATGTTGTTCCTTATTTGTTCCCCACAGCTTAAGTACAAGGAAGATTACAATAAAAACGTGAGGGGTCAATGGTGTGAGACGCCCTATTTCGACGTGGCCACTGCCAGGGTGGCGATGGACAACCTCAGCGATGTAAGACCCTACAGAGAATGCGGATTTTCTGAATTCTGCTGTTACGTCATTTTTCTGTGTTTAACTGTTGTTGTTGTTGTTGTTTTTTACAGAGAAAATACACGCAAGATTACGAGAATAAAAAAGACCAAATTTATTTCATGCAAACAGACACGCCTGTTTACGACACAAACAAGAAGGCTCGTATAGCTGCTAGTGAGGTGAGTGCACAAACAGGAACAAACACAAAGGTATCAGAGTGTTTTTATAGGTCCTATCTCATGTGGAAGACACGACAGGGAGTTGACCCATGTCTCAGAGCAGTGTGTGAGTCAACAGGCTGAGTCCACTCTGACGCAGGGACACTGTGTATTGTGCCCACATTGCATGACTGTGAGAGCTACATTTGGTTCATTGTCACCGCACAGATTCAGCGTGTAGTTTTGCTAGCATGCTGTAACAATATATGAGACTGTGTGAAGAGGCTTTTCAGTTCCTGTATACCTCATATCCACCCACACACTACACACAGTCATACACAATGCAAACACATTTTAAGAAATTATAGGGACACATTTCTTGTTACACTACACGACTGCACCACTGTTACATGAACACACCTCATCTGTGCACTTTAATCTCCTTTTACTTACACTGATCTGTTTCTGTCCTTAGGTCCAATACAAGAAGGATTATGAGAAGACAAAAGCACAATGTGACTACAACACGCTCCCCGCCACAGAGAATCCTCTCCTGAGACAGCTCAGATATGCTGGCACCATCCTCAGTGATGTAGGTGTCAAGAAAGGTCTTTTTATTTAAAAAAAAATCCCAGCTGTTCTTTTTGAATAGACATCTTTTATTTTGAGGACAACAAGTTATAACATCTTCAAATGAGTACTACTATATTCAGTTTGCATAGCTGGTCTCCTTGTGTGTTTATTGTATAGCCAGAGATGTTTGCATAAATTTGACAGCTACTCTTATTAGACACTTAACTAAAGAATACAGCGACTGCTTAAATGATTGAGGTGGTTGTGGGCGTAATATATGGTCTCTGACTTGCAGTGCCTCTAAGTGGATTGTAATATTAGTGGTGCTAATTAAACCGTCTGGAAGACACTTGCAGTGCTCTCTTGCATACAGTCAGTTAACTGATGTCAAAAGGGATTCAATTAATTCAAGATACCAGTCTTATTTGCTTTTTACAGTTAGTCCCAAGTCCACTTTGTGTACATACAATGTTTCTGTCGCTGTTTATGTATTTTTGAATTTTTGCCTATTTCAGTTACAAACCAAGAGTTTCATGTGTTTTTTCCTGCTCATCATTTGTTTTGCATCTCCTTTGCAGAAAGTATATAAGGCCAACTATGAGAAATCCAGGGGTTTCAGCATCAACTATTGTGACACACCCAAGTTTCAGATGGACTCTGTACTCAAAAAGTTCAGTGATGTAAGAATCCTCTATGAGTTTCAGAATTTTCTTTAATCATAAACCAGTCATTTTTAAAAATACTTACATTTTTCACAATGCTTTAAGGCACGTTACAAAGAAAAGTACGACAATGAGGTGAAGGGCCACTACATCGGCAGCTATGAGGACCTCTATATGCTTCACTGTCAGAAAGTTGAGGAAATGAAGAATGAGGTAAGTCCTTGCGCATTTTTCTTTCAGGTTTTAAGTCAAATTACTCAATACAGATTTTTTTATACCTCATTGTACTTTCCTCACAATCTGCATATTTTATCTTACAGCAATTATATAAGGCTGAATATGACGACATAAAAACTAGATGCTTCTTCCCTCAAACAATCACGCCTGAATACGAAGCCACGAAGAAGCTTCAGCAGTGTACCGATGTGAGTGGTCATAGCTGATGAAATACTTCTTTGCAGTAAAATACATTCACATATACTTCTTTTAGTGTACTTATATGTGTGACAAATTCTTTTTCAATCTTACGGTTTTCAGAAAGCTTACCGGCAACATCCAGACACAGTGAAGTTCACACAAGTGATGGATTCGCCCGTTATGGTTCAAGCCGCCATCAACGCCAAACAGCTAAGTGACGTATGTACCCCTTTTGGACCAACTCCTCTTGATGCTGACACAAAATGCATAAGAATTTAAATTGGCAGATTATATATCTTTCATATGTCGATCATATCTTTTGAACATCATCAACATAAGTCACATGTGCTTGTTGTGAAGGTAACTATATTTTTATATTGTTCCTTTACTGACTGAAAATGCTACAATCATGAGCTAATGCTGTAGATCAAATTCTCCTGGATATGCAGATCACCTTTAAATGTGCCCAATCATCCATGTTGCCCAGCTGTCTTTCTATGGGCACCATGGAAACTGGAGAGCCATTTCTCTGTAGTAAAAATAGAAACAAGCATTCAGTTGGCCCAGAATAAACCCTGTGATCAGAGAGGGGCTGGGGAGGCAGGGAAAGGAACAGTCAATATCTGTCAGATAGAGTCCAACTGATGCACTACTGCCCTCCAGTGACCAAAAATCAAACAACACTTTCCCTAAACATTTGCCTTATGATGACTGTACTCCACCCTGAGCAGCAGTGTGCAAAGTGTGACGTGTTCTAAAAATGAAACTAATTTTACCAATTTGTTCTTTTTCCAGTTGAACTACAAGGCAAAGCATGAGGAAACAAAGTTCAAGTGTCATGTGCCCCCAGACTCTCCCTTCTTCATCCAGTCCAGAGTTAACGCTTTTAACCTCAGTGACGTAAGTCATTTTCTATCGATGTCTAAATTTGAATTTCTGTCAGCTTTAATTTTGTGGAAATCTTCACTTCCCTGAACAATTGCATGACTTTCTCTTTGCAGAATTGTTACAAGTATGATTGGGAGAAATCTAAAGCGAAAAAGTTTGAGGTCAAGGGCGATAGCATCTCCATCCTTGCTGCCCGTGCTCACACAAACATTGCCAGTGATGTAAGTATGCTACAGTATTGACATTTTCTTGTACTTTATGTATTATTTGTGATTTTACTAATGAGTTAGAGTCCTTTTTGTTTATCTAGTCTATTATAATCTGCTCATTTTTACAGGTTAAATATAAAAAGGAGTATGAGAAGAACAAGGGACAGATGGTTGGAGCCCTGAGCATCAATGATGATCCCAAAATCTTACACTCCGTTCATGTGGCCAAAATCCAGAGTGATGTAAGTCATTACTTCACTGTATGACAAAGTCTCTTGCATTTCCCTTGATATCAGTTCATTCGAGCAGAGAAAAGAGGGCACACTCAAGCAGTCCCTTACTGATGTCTCCACAGCGTGAGTACAAAAAGGACTATGAAAAGATCAAAACCAAGTACCACACTCCACTGGATATGATGGCAGTCACCTTGGCCAAGAAATCCCAGTCGATTGCAAGCATGGCTAAGTACAGGAGCATCAACCCCAACTACTTCCTTCCCTATGATAGTATTCTGCTGCAACTGGCCAAGCAAGCCAACGTCATACAGAGTGACGTAAGTATCGACAGACTTTAAGCTGAAAGTTTAGTTGTAGGTTTCAATCAGAATGTAGAGACTTGTGCTTAGATGGTTTGAAGAGATTATGTGCTCACTGACATGTTTTTTCCCCCCCCTCTTTGACTTGTTTCTGTGCCTCGTAGAATGAGTACAAGTCTGACTACAACACCTATACTAAGGGTAGCCCATGGGTCACCTTTGGCTCCATGGAGGTGGAAAAGGCTAAGAAAGCTGCTGAGATCCTTAATGAGGTATGTCTGTAGCAGGATTGTATTACTTTTCCTGTATGTACTTGTCTTTGAAATTGCACTCTTAGTATTCAAAAACAACAGATTTAGCGTGTTAATTCACTTGTTTCCTTCAGAAAAAATACAGGCAACACCCAGACACCATCCCCTTCACTTCTATTGATGACCACCCCATCATGATGCAGGCCAAAGTCAACCAGCTTCAGAGGAGTGATGTGAGTCAACCGTTACTTCCAGAGACAGCAGTCCCTCTGTGCTTTTTTTTCCCCAAGATCACTTTTTGGAACATTGTTTTCATTTATGCTCTGATCTAAGTGCACAGCACATGTTATTTCTGCCTTCATGCCCTCTTTTTTCTTTCTTTACAGCGGTTCTACAAGAGAGGTCTTGAGGAAATCCATCAGAAGTACTCTCTGCCTCCTGATGTCCCTGAGTTCATTCAGGCCAAGTGCAATGCCTACAACATCAGCAAGGTAATGCATAAATACTGAGACTGAGAGTTTGCATGTTTTCAGTTATGTAAACCAAGCTCACATTTGAAGCAGTAATTTTAGGTACATAAATGAATTTGCTTGTAAATGTCTTGTTACTTTTCTATATACTGAAGGCAGCTATGTATGGTATGTACTGACATATGCTGTGGGTGCTAAAGCATGTGTTTGTGTGTATATATGTAATGAACCCATGCCTTAGTGTGAATACATTGTACTGTTGTTTATATTTGTAATCTGTAATTTCAGAACTACTACAAGTATGCCTGGCAGGAGCAAATTGCTAAGGGATATGACCTGAAGCCCGATGCCATCCCTGTTGTCGCCGCCAAAGCAGCCAGACATGCTGCAAGTGACGTAAGTTTACAGAAATGCTTGAACTCCATTTTTACACAACATGTTTGAAATGTTTTGTTTCTTGCTGCATCACATAATCAGTAAAATTTAAAATATGTAGAGATGCTATGTCCCCTTTAACTCCTAGGTCCAGTATAAAAAGGCTTATGAGAAGGCCAGAGGCCACCATGTTGGTTTCCGCAGCCTCCAGGATGATCCTCTGCTGGTTCATTACATGGAAGTGGCTAAGTTGCAGAGTGACAAGAACTACAAGAAGGACTACCACAAGGCCAAACTGAAGTATCACTCCCCAGTGGACATGATGAGTTTAGCTCATGCTAAACATGCCTCATCAGTGCAGACCTTCGCTGGCTACAAGAAGCGCCACCATAATTATTGTCTGCTGCCTGACGCTATGGGTCTAGAACTTGCTCGCAACATGAACTACAATTCCAGTGATGTATGTTTAAATTGTTCCTTTAAGGAGATGTTTGCGACATATTATAACTAAATACTTGATGGTTTATCTTAAAGACAGTTTTTGGTGTAATAATACTTCCTTGGTATCTATTATTTCCAGTTCAACTACAAACTGGATTATGAGACCTCAGTCAAGGGAATTGGCTGGGTTCCGATTGGTTCCTTGGAGGTAGAGAAGGCCAAGGCAGCAGGAGCAGCTCTGAATGAGAAAAAGTACAGACAGCATCCTGACACCCTTAAATTCACCAGTACCACTGACTCCATGAGCATGGAGTTGGCCAAAGCCAACGCCAAGATCATGAATATGGTGAGGAGAAGGAAACGGAATAACTTCTTCATTTGTTCTGACATTCATTTAATTACTTTAGTTGATCAATTGTGTCAAAATAGACATAAATCTGTCTCTTCATTGTATTTATGCAGAAAGAGTACAAAGCCAGTGGAGAGAAGTTCATGCACACCTACCATCTCCCTGCTGATGCCCCTGAACTGATGCAGGCCAGATACAATGCTGTCAACATCAGCCAGGTTAGTTGCAGATTCCCCCTAATATTTCCCAGTCTTTGTGTGAATAAAAAAACATATACGGAAATTATATTGTTGCTATATTTATAACATAACATGTTACATACATGTTTTTTTTTATTTATTTAGAGTTATTACACTTATGCTCATCGTCAAGATCTGCTCAAAGGACATCATGTGAAGGAAGATGCCATTCCTATTGTTGCAGCCAAATCTTCAAGAGACATTGCCAGTAATGTAAGTTGTGTGCTATTCATAAAATTATTCAAATGTTACAGCACTGAATAATGGTATTAGTAATACATTTTCTTTGATACAGTACAAGTATAAGCTGGCTTATGAGAAGGCCAGAGGCCACCATGTTGGCTTCCGCAAAGTTCAGGACGATCCTCTGCTGGTTCACTA